TTTTGAAAGTTGGAATGAGGGATTCGCTTTCTCTCGAATTTCGATTGCTGTGAGCGTCTTTTGGTCACATGGATTGCAAAGACTCGGTTTATTGGAGAGGAAGAACGAGAAGCGCGATTTACTACATGCGTGTAGTGGAGGGTTATCGGGAGTATTGATGCGTCTGTGTGTAGATATCCAGGTCAGAAATTGACGTTGAGTAACCTTTCGATACGACACTTCTTCTTCTTCATCTTCATCTACCCATCTATCCTTTCCCGTGATGAGGAAGTTGAGCAACTCCACTAAATATAGACAGGCACGACAGGGGAGTCAAGATTTCTCCGACTTGCAACCAAGCCTGAGCGCAAGACGATCTACCTGGCCTGTTACCGTCGATCAAGCACGTTAGCCTCAGGAAGACAAGGCATCCGAGAGAAAAGACGAACACCTGGCCTGACACTTAATGCATATACGATATCGACGATATGCGTGTCCCTTGTCGGGGATCTGCAACGTGGCTGGTGCGTTTTCTCAACTGGTGGGGTTTCAGGTGCGTCGCAGCGTGTGGTTGTTCACTCATCACCTCGACAGAGTCGACACCTTCAAACGGGAAGTAGCGGAGTGGCAGCAGGAAGAGTCAGGGTGGTAAGAGGTGGTGAGTGGTCATATAGGGTGCTGTGATTGGGGGGTTAGGGGTGCATTTTGGGGGTGTGGTGCGGCGGAGGGCTTGTCAGTCGCTACAATGGAGAGCGGCATATGGCGGCATGAGGGAATCGACACATGAACTTCAGCATGAAGAAACGCGTTCTTATCGACAAGAAGAGCAAGTATGACGGTAGCTTGGGTATCGTATAGTGGTCTTACGACAACGGTTCGTGTGTACGCGCACAACCACCAAGCACCCTTTCCATCTCCACACGCAGCACAGTCGCACTTGAACGCAGCACAGTCCCAGATCAACGCAGATCAGCATCCCCTTCCCCTGCCCAGCGTAACCGAAAATCACCGAAAATACTGCCTGAGGACGTCGCTAAGGCATGAAGCAGCGACAGGGTGGGTGGGGGAGGTGGTGGAAGTCATCTCTCTTCTTGTGGGTGCGTTGGTCTCGTGATGATCCGATTGCAATGAATTTGAGTGGTACTTTGGGTGGTTAGGTATGTGATGACCCTGGGATCTGATTGAAGGCGTCTCACGAGACGGATGCAGCGGGTGGGAGCACAATCCCGTCTGTCGCAGATCAGCGTCCCATTCCCCTGCCCAGCGTAACCGAAAATCGCCGAAAATACTGCCTGAGGATGTCGCTAAGGCATGAAGCAGCAACCCCAGCCTTGGCTCCCGATCGGATGCCACGGCTCCGCTAACCCAAGGCTCATACAACAAGGCCTCAGGTCGCAAGGCAATCAGGACAAAACAGTCAAGCAAATCTTGGCAACCGTTTTAGTGCACATCATCTGTCTTGGCAAGATACGGGAGTGGAGTGCGCCGGTAGCAAAGTGTGCCAGTGGCGAGTTACTGAGGCACCCAAGGCTACGATGGTACGTGTGTCACATCTCTACGGCAATACAGGGGCGGCAAAGGCAAGTACCGACATATCGATGTGTTCCCTGGGCATTAACGACGTCGTTTTGTCGATAGCAGTGGTTGGATAAAAGCTGATGGAAGGCCGCATGAGTTTACTTTCTCATCCCACACTCACTCTTCTTCCGGCCTTCTTCAGTCCTTCCTTCCTTAATTCCCGCTTTCGATTCTTTTAGCGACTTTGATAGTCTGCTTATTACCACTTTCTTTGAACCTTTTGTACACATACGTCTGTGACGTTTAATCTTTACCTTCTTTTTAATCACGATACTACCGTCTTTACCCTTTCAGGACTACTTCATCATCAACATGTCTATCAAGGCTATTGCTACTATCGCGCTTGCGGCTGGTCTCGCTGGTAAGTTCTCCAAACCAAACACTCAATCATATGACGCAACATACTAATCCACCCTCACAGCCGCAAAGCCCATCAACACCCCTGCCAAGCGCCAAATCGGCTTCAACTCCGTCGTCAACGGCTTCAACGGCAACGACGGCGCCTTCAACTTCATCGACGGCTTCAACAACTTCAACCAGCAACAACAAGTAATCCAGATCCAGCAGGAGAACCTCCAGATCATCGACAACGGACGTCAACAAGCCGTCGTCCAGCAAGTGGAGCAAGTCCTCATCGTCGACCAGGTCAACAACGGCTTCAACAACGACCTCAACAACCTCTTCCGCAAGAGCAACTTCCAGAACCAGTTCCGCGATGTCGCCACTGTTACCCTTGTTGTGCAGGAGATCCAGATCGCCATCGACGACGGCCGCGGCAACCAAGTCCAGCAAAACATCTTCGCTCAGTCCGCCGTTGTCGCTAACCGCGGCGCCCGCGAGACACAGACTGTCATGGTCTTCGACAGCCGCACGCTGATCGCCCAGGACATTCTCGGCGGCGACGCCTTCGGCAAGCTCGGTGGCTTCGGCGGTATCGCAGGCGCGACTGGCGCGTTGGACGGCGCAATGCCCACCAAGACAGCTGGTATCCAGCTCTTCGGTGCGAAGCCCACTTGGTCGGCTGTTGCCGAGGACCCAGCTGCGACTCTCGGTGCTATCTGGCAGGGTGCTCTCCAGGACCTCCAAGATGCGCAGAACGACGAGGCGGACAACAAGCTCAACGCGCAGATTGCTGCTGAGGAGTTGAAGGCGCTTCTTGAGGGTCAAGACGGCCAGGACGACAACAAGGATGGCGAGGACAACGCCGACGACAAGGCCGCTGAGGAGGAAGCCAAGAAGGCGGAAGAGGAGGCTAAGAAGCAAGAGGAAGAGCAGAAGAAGGCTGAGGAGGAAGCTGCCAAGGCAGACGCTGAGGAGGCTAAGAAGCAGGAAGAGGAGCAGAAGAAGGCTGATGAGGCTGCTAAGCAGGAGGCTGAGCAGGAGAAGAAGGCTGAGGAGGAGGCCGCGAAGAAGGAGGCTGAAGATGCGAAGAAGGCAGAGGAAGAGGCTGCTAAGAAGGATGCCGAGGAGCAGAAGAAGGCGGATGAGGAGGCTAAGGCACAGGCTGAGGCTGACAAGAAGGCTGAGGAGGAGGCGAAGAAAGCTGAAGAGGCCAAGGCTGCTGAGGAGAAGAAGGCAGAGTAAGATACTCTAGAGTGATGGCTCGCGCTCTCTGCAGCAGAGCGACGATGCGCGGAATATGTATACCCTGAGAGGCTTTTGTTAGTTGCTCTCTTACCTACCTAGGTAGTTCAAGTGCTGCGTTTGCAGGACCGGTATCAGCGAGACTGGACCGCGAAAATTGGTTACGAAATTGAATGAATAAATTTCCTTCTTTCACTTCACGGTCTACTAGTCTAAATGCATTTACGGTGACGAGATGAGCCCGTGGTGATGTACTCACCTTCACTGACGGTGAAATGTCAATTTCTGCTGATTGTGACGACTTTTACTAGGTTATCCCTCTACACCATGGGCTTCGCATTCTCTCCCGATGTTAAATGATTAGGCATCGAGACTACAAACATGCCATCGCCTCCTGTATTACTGCGCCTCTACTGCAACAAGACTCGGCTACTGATCGGAAGCATACTGCTTTTCATCAGCCTGCATATATTGTTTGGTTGCTCAATCTTCAACCTTGTCCCATCGGGTACACCTGCTACCCCAAATCTCGCCAACGCTATACCCGAATCCATACCCTGGACTCCTAAAAGATTGCAAGCAGACCTGCGCATCTCAAAAGCGACCATATTATACAACTTCAGGCAACATGATAGAGACAATCTCGCCCTCGACGAACTTCACACCCAAAATTTCGGATACACAAGCCACATTCTCCAAACACCTATAGTGCGAGGCGCTCTGAACAAGTTCCTCTACCTCCAGTCTCTCATCATCACCGAACTTCAAAAACCAATCGAAGATCAAAAAGAATGGATACTCTACCACGACCCTACCGTCATCCTCGCAAATCCACACATACCACTCCACCACTTCCTCCCACCCATCGCAGATGTCGAAACATTCAAGACCCTCTCTATCATTGCTACGAAACCCGAAAGTGAAGAACTAAGTGCCGCGGTCTTCTTCATTCGGGTTAGCGGCGGCTCACTGCGTATCTTGACTGAAGCCATGGAGATGATATACAACTTGCCAGACAACGGAGATGAAGATGAGGAATTCAGTGTGGTAGCGACAGCCTTTCAAACTACCCTAGCCCGCCCTCACCACCTCGAAAAAGCAATCTACCAACCCCGCGAATGGTACAATAGTACCTCGTCTCTTTTCTGCCAACCCTACTATCGCACGCTAGCGCATCGTCTCCTCCCCGTCCACTACACCCAAATCATGCCAGGTGGCAAAGAAGGGAGCAGTCTGATGTTCCCTGATGCAGACACGGTACACCGGTTTTGGCACCTTGTGAGTGAAGCGCGGCGCGTGTTGAACGAAGCGAAAGAAAAGGGTCATACGAGTGAGCAAGGAGAGTGGTGGGAGATGGTGAGAGAGGTGAAGGAATGGGTTGAGGGTAGGGCTTGGGATACGGAGGAGTTGGAGAGGAGGGTAAGGGTTCTGAGGGAGGGGTTGAGTATCGACTGATCTATTACAACTGAGCATGAGTTTGGTGACAGTAGGTTCACGGTGCGGTGTTCATGTCGTGAGTTATTTTGCGGGTTGTCTTGATCGGCCTGCTGTTTTGAGACGGAGGCAGTTGGAAGGATTCCGCGGCCGGGATGAATGCTTCTAATCTGGGCACATGGATCACACCGAGCTTGAGGGAATGACAACGTAGGGCGCAGGCCAAGTCGGACGACTCTCCTCCGGACGGTTCTCCTCTTCCAATCATGTATGACGGTTCAACTGGGCGTCTCGGGTAGCACGGCTTCATGTCGAGTAAGCGAGGTTTTATCCCCGGACTGCATGCTCGATCTCTCTTCATATAGTAACATGTCGCGTGCCCACAGTTCGAGATGTAGAGGACTCCTCTATACTCACCGCTCACCATGCCACCATCACCAGAGATAACACCGCTGCAAGACACCGCACCACCAATCAACCCCTCCAAAAAGACCACAGCATCCAAGCCCAACCAGCCAACTCCAAGTAACGCAGCAGAGCCCTATTCCGCCTTCCCAAAATCAACTCGCACCTACCTAACCTACATCCTCGGCATAATCCAACTAATCTCCACCCTAACAACAACAATCTACTTCCCGCTCATCCCCACCCTCAGCACCCACTTCTCCGTCTCCATCCAAGCCATCAACTTAACCGTAACCGTTTACGCAATCTGCCAAGCCATATCCCCGGGTATATTTGGTTCACTGGCAGATTCCTATGGCCGCCGACCCGTACTACTCGGTCTCATTACTACGTACACGCTAGCGAGTCTGGGTCTCGCGTTGAACAAGAACAGTTATCCGGTGTTGATTACGCTGCGGGCGTTTCAGAGTATAGGTGGTTCGGCGACGGTGCCGATTGCGTATGGGATTGTGGCTGATGTTGCTGTGGTGTCGGAAAGAGGGGGCATGTTGGGACCGATGTTGTCGACTTGTAATGGGATTTCGGCGTTTGGACCGGTTATTGGTGGGGCGTTGGCGATGAAGTCGACGGGGCATATGGGCGTCTTCATGGCGCTGTTGGGGATTGCGGTTTTGTGTCTTCTTCTCGTGGGGTTTGTGCTGCCGGAGACGTCGAGGACGATCGTAGGAAATGGAAAGACACCTGCGACGGGGATTTGGCGGACTTGGACTTCTTTCCTCGGTCGAAAGAAAGGCGAGCAGGTGGTGTCCACTGTTGCGGGGCGACCTCCTATGCCCAAGTCTTCCCAGACGCTCTCGAAGATCTTCGACTCCATACGCATGATCCGGCATCCGGACGCTGCCGTGATTCTCTGGATGGTCGCTTCCTCCTATGGAATCTACTATACCTTCCAAGTGGCCCATTCCGTCATCTTCAAAGACCTATACAACTACAACGAGCTACAAATCGGACTAAGCTTCCTACCTGCGCTGGCAGGCATGACGATCGGCGGCACGATAGCAGGAAAACTCATGGACATTAACTACGCGTATCATGCGCGTCAAGCCGAGATAGTCGACCCAGCAAACATCTTGGATTTTCCAATCGAACGCGCTCGGTTCAGGAACGTGATTCCGCTGATTCTAATCGAGACGGCACTGGTCACAGGCTATGGATGGACGGTGCAACAACACACTCACCCCGCTGTTCCCCTTGTACTGGAATTCTTCGTTTCCGCACTGGCTACTCTGCTAAGTCATACTGCGAATGCGCTGCTCGTGGATGTGTTTCCTGAAGTACCGAGCACGGCGTACGCGTCGGGTCAGCTTGCCCGTGGCGCGTTTAGTGCTGCGTCTGCTGCTATCATTGATCCTCTGGTGCGCGCTGTAGGTCGCGGGTGGTATTTCACCATTTTTGCGGCGTTTACCGGGACGGGATGTTTGACGTGTGTGAGCTTGAGTCGGTGGGCTGGTATGAGGTGGCGGTGGAAGAGGTATTTGAGAGCGAGTCGCGGGTCAGGAAAGAGCGCGAGTAACCAGGGAGTTTGAGATTGAGTCCCGCCTGCTGGCAACTACGATCATCAGGATCATCACCCAGGATTGGAATCGGGCTCTGGAGTCAGAGAACTTGTTGTGTTACTTTTTCGACGCGCCTTTGAAACTCAGATGGCTGGCATCGCGTCTGAGGTTGGCGTTCAGGCATCACGCTAGCCGCTTGCAGCTGACACCTGGGCATCGAGCGCGCCTGCGGTAAGAAATACGTGCGCGCATCATCCCGAGGTCATATCACTAGGTCACTTCAGAACAAAGCACATGTCTCATTAACTAAACATCAATTCCTCGGGGCGCCATGACTATTTGGCCATGCTCTGGAAAATCGGTCCCATATTCTCCTGCCAAGTATCCACAATCTTATTCGCAGGTCCCGCAGCAATCATCTCATCTCCCTTCTTCCATTTCCCTATCGTCTCCTCCGTAAACTCCTCTACGCTCAACGCAGCTTGGTTCTTCTCCTTCTTGTTATCATCCGGATCTTTCCTTTCACGATGCAAATCCGTCGCTACGGTCGGCGGCGCAATCTCAATGACCTTGACTTTGGTATCCTTTAACTGAGCGCGTAGATTCATCGACCAAAAGTGCAGCCATGCTTTGGTACCGCAGTATACGGGATTGACGAGGGAGAATGGGACGAAGCCGAGGACGGAGGATACGTTGACGACGAGTGCCATTGGCTTGGATTTGAAGTGCGCGAGCAGGTGCAGTGTGAGGTGCATGGGCCCACGTTGGTTGATGTCGATCTCTTGATCGGCCTTGCTTCCAAATTCTTCTGGGTCCATTTCGTTGACATCGAGCGGTCGCTGCACGCCGGCATTATTCACGAGGCAGTCGAGGTCCGGATGTTCGGAAATAAGCTTCTTGATGAAAGCTGGGATGGATTTGACGTCTCCAGTGTCAAGCACGTAGTAGGCTGTTGCACCGATCTCTTTTGCGGCTTCTTGGAGTTTCGACTCTGTGCGGCCGGCAATGATGACTTTCTTCCCGTCTTTTATAAACTGTTGCGCGAGGGCCTTTCCGATGCCGCCGCCTCCGCCGGTCACGAGGGCGGTCTTGAAATCGTAGTTTGTGGACATGTTGGTGGCCTCTCGAAGATTGATGGGAATTGTGAGTTCAGAGAAGCGACACTTTCCTACTTGACTAGCTAAAGCTATAGGGTCGGTGACGCGCACCTAAGTCGCCGTCGCTGATGATGTATGTACGTCATGACCCCGTCTCAATAGCAGAATTTGCTCCTACGTAGCTGGCCAGCAACTACGCCTGTGCAACACAATCTTTCTTAACGTAGAAGTTTGATCAAAGCAAGCTCGACCGTGCCACCTGGCTGCATAATCCGACCGCTGCCAGAGCCTCTCGTTTACCAAGCATGACCAAGGACCCACAGTCCTTGCGCCTTGGACGCACGATGGAAGGAGCGCAGCCGCACCCGGGACGGCTGCATCCACATCCACATCTTCAACTCCTCCTCAACCTCATCCACCTGACAAACGTCTGACAAACCCCAAAACGTTTTTGCGCTTACCTTCAGGCCCACACCGAGATGCGCGAATCACGAACTCAGGACGCCGTTCCATGCGTCATACGGTCCAAATCGGCTTGGCGTGATGTGGGGTAGCCACGCACCAGATCGCGTCGACAACGCCGGGATGTGGGCTGTGCGACACGCCGAACAGCATTGCCGTAGTGTGAGATTGCTAGGGTGCGTGGGACGGAGCGTTTGTAAGGCCGTCTTATATTAGATGGAAGCCACATTCGCGACGTGTAGAGCATATCTTGCAGGCAAACCTTTGAGCGGGATATACACACGCGACCAACCAACTATTAGCGACGACGGCGAAGAGACTACAACATGACGGTTCCAGAGAACTCAGAGTCGAAGTGCGATGTGTTAGTCTGTCGATATCAAGCAATGCGAACATGTAGCTAATGAGTCCAAAGTCTTATTGTCGGTGCTGGACCAGCAGGGTAAGGATCACCACAACAATGGGCATTGTTCGGAACTGACCAGGTCTTAGGCTGATGCTCTCGGCTTGGATGGCAAGATGTGGCATCAATGCTCGCGTTGTCGATAAACGCGGCACAAAGATCTACTCGGGACAGGCAGACGGTTTACAGCTCCGCAGCCTGGAAATCTTTGACAGCTTTGGTTTCGCGGATAGAGCTTGGAAGGAAGCAAATCACTTGATAGAGGTATGCACATCAAACAATTGTGGCTTGAGTATATCTTACTAACCAATAATCAGTTTTGCATGTGGGTATGTTGTCACACTCGATGAACCCACCACCATCCCTAACATTTGCAGAACCCCGGCGAAGATGGTGTGATACGCCGCTCAGACGGAGTTCCAGATACACCACCCGGTCTCTCTCGATTCAAGGAGATCGTTCTCCACCAGGGACGGATTGAGAGGTTCTTCCTCGATCACATCAAGAAGCACTCCAAGGATACGCTACGCGTCGAGCGCGCAGTGCTACCGGAGTCACTACATATCGCCGAGGATCGAGTTGATGACCACTCGTCCGACAACTATCCTGTTACAGTCCAGCTCCGATATCTCACGGAAGACGAGGCCAAACCAGCGCAAAGCAAAGGGTCTGGAGTCAACGACGGTCTTTTCAGAAGCAATCTCGCAGAAGACGACACTGAAGACCTCATTGCCAACAGCCAGCAGAAGCAAGGTAGCACTGAGACTGTCAAGGCGAAGTACGTCGTAGGCTGCGATGGCGCTCACAGCTGGACGCGAAAGCAACTAGGGTTTGAGCTCGAAGGCGAGCCCACCGACCACATCTGGGGCGTCTTGGACATTATCCCCATCACAGACTTTCCGGATGTTCGCAAACGATGCGCCATTCACAGCGCGTCTTCCGGATCAATGATGATCATCCCACGCGAGAACAAAATCGCCCGCCTCTACATCCAACTCACAGAGATCAAGCCCGACGCCAGTGGCCGAGCCGACAGGTCGAAGATCACCCCGGAAACCATCATCACAGCGGCACAAAAGATCATGGCACCGTATAAGCTAACGTACGAATACTGTGACTGGTGGACGGCATACCAGATCGGGCAGCGAGTCGGCAAGAACTTCGATCACAAGAGCCGTGTCTTCCTGGCTGGTGACGCTGTGCATACGCACTCACCGAAAGCTGGTCAGGGTATGAATGTCTCGATGCAGGATGGGTACAACCTAGGCTGGAAGCTGGGATTGGTTGTGAAAGGCATCGCTCATCCATCCATTCTGAAGACCTACCAGTCTGAGCGCCGTCGTATCGCGCAAGACCTGATCGCATTCGACCACAAATTCTCCCGGCTATTCTCCGGTCGACCAGCCAAGGACGTCATGGACGAAGAAGGCGTCAACATGGACGAGTTCAAGAACGCTTTCCTCAAGGGTAAGCAAGATCCTTCGAGTTGGCCGCTACCTCGCTAACACATCTTCTAGGTCAACTCTTCGCAACCGGCCTCTCAGTCGACTACGGCACGAGCATGCTAATCGGCAAACCCGGCTCCGCCACCGACCAAGGCGACGGCACAGACGTATCCTCCTCGTCCCCCGTCATTGGCAAGCAAGAGCTATCCTCAGAGATCAAACTCGGCATGCGCTTCCCCAGCCACCAAGTCATCAACCAAGCCGACGGCCGCGCCTGGGAGTTCCAACAGAAACTTAAAAGCGACGGTCGTTTCCGCATTATCGTCTTCGCTGGCAACGTCACCAGCGCTCAGCAGAGCGCCCGCTTGAAGACCTTCTGCCAGGCCCTCTCATCTTCAGAAGTACTAGCACCGCATCTCGGTAAGAATATCGAGGTTCTCACGCTACACTCGTCCAAGTGGAAGGAAGTAGAGCTATTACGTGATCTCCCGGATATCCTACATCCGTTTGATCCGAAGACAGGTTGGGATTACGACTCCGTGTATGTGGATGATGCGAATCCGTTTGAGGGCTTTGGCGATGCGTATAAGGGGTATGGTGTTGATAGAGAGAGGGGATGTGTTGTTGTTGCGAGACCGGATCAGTATGTGGGGTACATTGATGAGGTTGATGGGGAGGGGTGTAAGGGGGTTGAAACCTACTTCAACGGGATATTCGCGGCGTAGAGGGTAGTAAGTAGCTATCTTTGCACCCACCACATTTCAATCTCTTGTGTCATCATGAGATATAAGGTGTTCGCATGTAAGTTGGGCCAATTCTCTTGATTGAGAATCGTTCTCTCTGAGAGATAGCCTTATAGTGCAGCTGTCTACTTAATGATAGGACCAATGAATCTGAATCAATGACGCAAACAGACATCAAAGACTCGCATAGATCTCCAGTACTGAATGACAATCATGAAAGAAAATCCGCCTCGCCAGAACTTTTGATATCTGTATTTATCAAGTGATGAACCCTTTTCTGCCCCCGACGAAATCATGATTGTAGCGCAATAGTCGAATGAAGGATGTTTTTGTTGATCGGATCGTTGGAGCAGTCTTCAGTCTCTCAAAGCTGGCGATATCAATGTCGGTTAACATTCCTTGCAAGAGTGAGAAGCAGTGACGTACCTTCTTCTGCTTATTTGTAGGCTGGGTGTGTTTCCTTGTAGCAAGGCTTCTTGAGACGAGCGTGCTCATGATATTTGCAGCCGACGTTCTCGAAGAACACCTTGTAATCTTGTTCCACCACTTGGCTGAGCCTCAACTTCGGACCAACGTACTTGAGAAGATCTATCATGAACTCGGAAGGATAGCGATCTTCTTTCAAGTCGCCGAATACACTTGAAGACCAGCAGTGAGCTGCAATATCAACGGTGAACTGGCGATGTGCTGGAAGTCGATCGTCGATACCATATACTATATCAGGTATATTCATCAAGTCGGCTTCGTCGGATATCATCTTCTCTTGAATCCAGTCGATACAGGCGTCCTGAAAGCCACAATCTTGTATGACGTTACCAAGGGTGTAGCACTCGTTCCACTTGTTGCACTCCCCATCGAGGATACAGCCATTTTTATCACTCTGCGGGGGACTGTCGATATCGTGTTCCTCCGTAATGTAGAAGTAGCCAGTTTCAAGCCACCCCAGATAGATTTCGAAAGCTCGGGGTTTAGCATCTGGCAGATCAACTTCTTCTGGACCGTTGGTCTTGAGCGACGTTCCCAAGGTCTTCTTGAAGAACTCGGAGCTAGTGAGAAGAGTACTCTTATCGACGGTAAATGACTCATCGTTCCCGACGAGAACCGTGATCCTCTTATAAAGGCGGCTGTGGCTGATCAGTCAAGTATCTCGATGTCAAGCTAGCCCCTGCTCACCTGGGTCTGTCGGCCATGGCCCGCCTCAACTTCTTCGGATCAGGGAGTTTGTCTGGCTGGTCGGTGCCTCGCTTTCGGGAGTTCGTGTTGCTTGTCATCGTTGGTGATTGCGACTAATGAATCAGCGTTGGGAGGGAGTCGGTGGTGGAAGTTGGTGTCTAAAGGTAGAGGGAGGGTCTTATATGGTGGCAGACTAGATCAAAAGCAACAGGTAAAGGTAGCGGAGATACGACGAAGTAAAGGTGCTTGCTATCGAAACTTCGTTTGAGGTATAGAGTGAGCGTGTATTACAGTGGTATGGATGCATGACTGTCAGCATAAGAGAAAGACAAAGATTTAGTAAAGTTGTATTGAACTATACTAATCGTACTGCCTGGCGACTACATAGGTACAAAGATCGATGCATGCCAGGACTTGACCTTGATGTATGCGGCAAAAGGAACCGAGGCTTCAATACCGACGTCGCTGCTGTACGATCATAACACCCCATCGTGCAATGCATCTAGCCCAATCCTGTTGGCCGCAAGCTACGCCCTCGCGTGAAGCGGTCTCTTAACGGCATTCAGAAGCGGAACGCGGGCTTGTTCTTGTAGCAAGGCTTTTCTCCATGTTCGTGGTACTTGCAACCATCCTGTGACTTAAACCAGTTTCCCGAGAACTGCAATTCAATCCCTTCCCCAAGGCTTGGTATAATGGAGTGCAACATGTCGTATAGAAACTCCTGCGAATACCCCAAATTTGTCTCGAACGTCGTGTCATTTCGGACTTTGACAAACATGTCAACAACGAATCTCCTATGGGCAGAGTCCTTTGTTGAGTGAGAGTAGATGAAGTCGGGGAGCCGAATCGGATATGCATTCAAGATGGCAGTGAATTCCATCATGGCATCGATCAAGGCGTCTTTGAAATCGCCATCTTGAAGAAAGTCTCCAAGAGTGTATAAACGGTTCCAGGCCGAAACATCCTTGCAAAACAATTCCGCTTCGCTCTCCCGTATTTGAGGGGTTTCTGTCCCTGTGAAGATGCGGCCAGTGTAAAGAAATTTAATCCAGATCCTCATGTGTTCTGGCTCGGTATCCGGAAGGTCCACTACCCTTTCTTGCCCCTCTTTCCACTCTTTCTTGAGCGCGTTGTCAAAGAACAGCGAGTTTGCGCGAAGCAGGGATTCGTGGACGTAGAACTCTTGCTTGACCTCGCCAACACGAATGAGAATGGGTTTCGAATCGACGCTGTAGTTTTGGTTAGTGTGCAGCGTTTAAAGAGCACCTATGCTTCTTACCTAGGGCCCTCGCTTGATGAAAACCGCACTCTCTTGCGAGGAGGTTCAGTATCGTCGGCCATGGTATTCTTGATGGATGCGGGTGGGTTGAGCAACTAGAATGGAGGAGCAAGAGCGCCTGCGACTGCGAAACCAAATTTGCGTCGCTAACCAGCGTGGGCTCCCTACGCACGGGCTGATAAGAAGTGAATGAGAGTCCGCAGCCATGTAGTAAGCTAACGAATCGGTCGAGGTGGGCGTGAAACCGAGAAGTAGAGGCGCAGTTTCTCTCAAATCCTCGTATCGGAATGTACATTGGACGTATACATCGTACCATAAGGAGCAAACTTACAGATCGCCAGGTCATATCTACCTTAAAGAACCTGTTGGTCTGGCATATAATCCTGAGATGGCAAGGCATTCGGTGATAAAGGGCCCCATCTAGTAGTGCTTCGTGTGTGAAGCAACATCAATCTGAGCAAGGTAGATCTCGAGACGACAGAATTGAAGTTCCACAGCTGACCTCCTATCACCTACGACTTGTGGCTGTAAAAAGACTTTTGGCCCCCAAACGCTTACTGTGGCTGTACGACGCCCGCCGCAGTAGTCTCAAAGTATAAACACCCGAGAACGTCGCGCCCCCAGAAACAGCGGAATCGCCTCCTTCAACCTCGTTTTCGAAATTTACGCGATTTTCCTCTTCGCACCCTGTTCAGGATGGCATCGCTTCCATATTCTGATTTGGAGGTCGCTTCCAGTACCGATCCGGAAGTCGCTGGTAGTACTGACCAGGATACGCACAAATACGCGCACTACTCGGTGGCCCCTACAGACACGGATAAGATCGCATATGGTAGCATCACGCGTGCGCATGTAGAGTCGGCAACGCGAACGATATGTGGCCTGCGGAAGAAGACGTTCTGGATCGTAGTCGTTGCCGCTGTTATAGTTGTTGGCAGTGCCGTAGGCGGTGGAGTCGGGGGATCACTTGCAACACGCAAGTCCAGCTCGACCAGCCCGACCAGCAGTACACAGATACCCGCAACCAGCATGCAGCTGTCCTCAACAACACCATCCCCAACATCATCAACCCAAACCATCAGCACAACCACCATCCTCGGCCCAACATCCAGCCCGCAACCCACACTCCTCCGCGACTGCCCATCCTCAAACAACACACTCCGCACCGTGACCTACGGCAGCGCATCTTACCACTTCCGCAAACTCTGCAATGCAAGTTACCTGAACACCGGCGGCGTCGCGGCTCCCGTGCAGGGCGTCGTAAAAAGCCTCGACGAATGCATCGACATATGCGCGCAGTATAACCAGAACAACCGGACCGATATACAAGCAGGCCGAGACCCTCTTTGCAACGCAGTGTGTTGGCGCAATACTTTCGATGCGAGTAATGACTGGGAAGGGGGCCATTGTTTTGGGTTTACGACTAGGAATGTTACGATAGATGGGGAGTTGGTTTTTAATGTTCGTAGTGAAGAGATATGTGATAGTGCTGCGTTGATTAATCAGGAGATTTAGGAGTGCATGTTGCAAAGGGGTGGCCGTTAGAGGAAACCAAGAGTTAGATTTACCAGCTAGATAACCAAGAAAGATAAACCGGGTATACGCGCCGACATTACATACATCGCTTGTTCATGAACGCCGTTTGTTGCGCCGCTTGTAATGACCGCTTCGCGTGTCGGGGGAGAGGAACCAAAAGGGAAGACCGTGTAACCAGACCAGAACCAAGGTATATACAAGAAGCGAAGAAGCGAGAAGGTTCCGAGACGAAGAGAGATCTGACCGTAGGTGTGATACCATCTCCCTAGATCCCACCCATATCCACCTCTTTGCTCAAGAAATCCGCCTCTTCAAAATCACTCCCACTACCCGCACCCACCCTCCCCTCCATATGCGCCGCGTTCTCAAAATCCATATCGATATCATCATCGCTAATCGTCCGTTGCGCTGTCCGTCTCGACTTGGGCAGCGCGACGCGACGAGGCGGTGGCTGCATATTGAGTCCCTGAGGTGGCGTTTCACTCAGCGGGCTAACGGGCACTTCGTCGATTTCGACGCCCATGCCCATTCCCCTTGTCGATGATGATGAGCCGAAGAAGAATGTTGTGTCTAATGTCCTGACTTCATCTTCGTCCTGCCATGAGCGTTTCGAGGGGTTGTGTGGGCGTTGCGAGGTAGTCGAGTATCCGCTATCTGTGGAGGCTTTGGACGAGAAGGGCTGGGTGAAGGTTTCGGCTGGGAGGGGGAAGTAGTTTGGAGGTGGTGGCGTGCCGTTCGCGGCGTAGAGATGTGGGTTTGTTGTTGGTTGTTCTGCGAAGCCGCCGATTTTGTTCAGGCCGCAGAAAGGCAGGAGTTCGCGCTGGTGCAGCACTTCTTCTGATACAGGCTCTCGGGGTGGTTTGACGGCCAGGGTGGGCCGCGACATGGTGGTTTGGATGGATGGGAGGCCGGATGTCTTGTGGATCTTGTAGCCTTCCGGCACGCTCTTTCGCACTCTCATGCCGACGCTGAGGAGGTCTGCTTGGACTTGGCCGGGGACGTCAGGAGCGAGTTTCTCTCTGTGCTGGTGCTGGTGTTGCCTCGTGTTTTGGTGTCGCGGTCGGGTAATCGGATCTAGGCCCCGCAGATCGTCGGTATCCTCGAAATCGTCCCGCACCTCGAAATAGCTTGTGATGCTGGGTTGGAACTTTCTCTTGCTGCGGTGTTCGTCGGTCGGAGTATGGCGAGCTTGCATAGCGGAATGCAATTGTGTGGATGTGTGTATGAAGGGGGAAGGAGCGGTCGGAAGGCGCGGTCAGGCAGGATTATGCGGTGTCGCTGAGGTGGAGAGGGGATCTTTCTGATGCCGCTTCGATGCACGCTCGAGCCCTTGGGGGCTGAAGATGGACAGGGTTCCGGGATGACAGGACGGGTGATCAATTTAGCTGCTTAACGAGGAACGGCGGGTAGATTTCGCTTTCCGAGTCACGCTCCGGTCGGAGTGCAAGAGGGAGAGAAAGAAGCAAATGCGACAACCCAAGTTCGCTCGAGGGCCTGGCCGGATGACGGCAGTTGATGCAATGAGGAGTCGCGCGCTGATCAGCGGTCGTGACGCGACTGGACAGTGGACGGCCGAACTGGAACCGCGAACCAAACGATGATCGTTGACCGGCTTATTCACGCCTTCCCCACTGCGGTTCGCTCCCTATCTAACCTGTCAATTGTCGGAGATGCGAGGTCGTCTCAACGCTGCCCTGAAACCGCTACGTGCAATGTCTCATGAACAATGTCTGGCTGGTACAAAGACAATTGCTTGTCGCGCGCGCTGCCGTTGCTCTGCGCGACAACTCCTCCGAGGCTGCTTGCTGGCCCGTCCAACTTTCCAGACAATCCATGTCCAGCAAACGCACGCTTTCCACCCAGAAACACAAAAGCGCCATGCAGCGGTTCAGCATGATTGCCTGTTCCCGCTCACGCACGCTTACGCATCCTGTGCTCAACTCCAGGGTGATCGTCCATTGGACTTGTCGATCTGATCTGGGCCCAGTCCCCCGCAATATCGCTGCACAATGCCTCATTCCAATCTCAAGCGTAGTGAAGAAGATGCGATTGAACGCAAAAGAGGCCTTCATTTGCCTAATAGTACATTGAAAGGAAGACCCTTGCTCAAAGTCACAGCCAACGACCTATGACGCCAATACACCGGTACGCCTTCCCCCTTTGGACACGCTTGCTGACAGAGGTCCATAACCCAAATGCATCAAATCTCTCGACTTAATACGTTAATACGCGCATTCAAGCGCGTCCGTATCTCGTTATCATCTCTTCTCGGATTAACATCGCCCTTGGGATGTGCCTAGTTGTTCACGGGAATGTTGCCCATCTCAACTTCCTTCCTCTGCTGCCTCGCTGCCCACTTGTCCGCCATCCAGGTAATCATTGTGACAGCCATGCTTGCGCCCACAAGCAGGAACACGATCAGGGTTCCGTATAGCGCAAACTTGCTTGCCCCACAAAGGGTCTTGAAGTCGCTGTTGCCCATGCCAGCAGGCATGGCAATGTCAGCAGGCAGATCCTGATCAAGCGGTTCAGAGCTCTGCATCTTGCAGGTCCAGGTCTGGATGGTATCGACTTCTGGCGCGTTGTTGTTGAGCATGTGGGCCCAGATGGTGGTGATCAGGGTGAGGAGAAGAGTAGGAAGGAGGGTAGCGAGGGACAGAAGAGCCCGCAGGGTGTATTTCTGACGAAGCGCAAGCTGATGTTTGTCAGAACGATGTTCTTTTGCATGAGATTCATCGACGGCCGCATACCTGAGGGAGAAACGATGCGATCAAGAATGCGCCACAGAGAACCAGAGTCACGACAGACGAAGCAATGAGCGCCTTGGTTCCCTGCACGTCGAAGTGCTGAGGCCACATCGGTGCCCACCAAGGGTTTGTGAGATGTTGCCTGTTGAAGACATCGAGGGTGTGTGCCGAAGTGCCAAGGATGCAGATGCTGAAGACGACGACAAGGCCGGTGATGATGGCCTGAGCCAAGTGGAAAGGAGCGGGGTTGATCTTCATCGTGATGATAGTCGTTGGTCTCGAAGCTGCTTTTTATATTGCGAAAACGCGGAGCGTAGGTATGGTATAATGATCGGATCGATTACTAGGCGTCAACCAGTGCGCACCTTTCTTTCTCGGAATGAAGGACGAATGAACGAGAGAACGAAATAACAAGCAAGCACAGAAAGAGGCCTGATATAAGCTAAGGCTCCGAGTCGATCTTCTTTGCCTGGGATGGGGATAGAAAACAACTCTGGGGGTGGCACATGCCTTTAAAACGATCTCGGTCGCAATGGGGGTTTCACGCCTACAGAACACATCGTGCAACCCCCTGCAGCCCATCTGGCGTTCGCGTACAGGAATAGACGAACAAGAGCAAAGAAAGAACGGCAATCTGTCTTGCCGCTGCGACCATCAGTCGGACCTGGACTAGCAGCGCCAGTGTGCTGGGCTGGTGGTGGGAGTATTGTTGTTCGCAGCGCGTAAGCTGCACACCAGGCCTAGAATAGCGATATTAACCTGCATGGGGTCTTGCCGTA